ATGGGCAGAGGAGAAATAAAGCAGATGGAATTCATGTTAAAGAACAGCCACAATCGCCCTCCAAAAACAAGGAGAGAAAAGCGGGCAGCCTTAAAGGAGCGTAGGGAGCAGCGTTTATCCAATTAGCAGGGTTGTCAAATTGAATTTACTCAGAATGGAGGGGGAAGCTGGGCAGGGGGGAGGGAAGGAGGGAAATTAAGTGTCTAGGGCATGGGGGGAGCACGATATTGAAGAAAGGACGCGGGTTTTCTTTCTTTCTTACTCTTTAGCCTTGTCTTTTCAAGGGCTGGAGCTGTTTTCGGGGCGCGCCAAGGGGCAGCGAAAGCCGGCATGCATACTCTGTTTTAGCACGGAGCTCCTCTCCTGGTAGCTGCAGAAAAAGGGAGGCGTATCCCGAGGGGCAAGGCCATCCTCGCATCCCTGGTCTGCCTGCAGCAGGGCTGTCTGAGGCTGGTGGGTCCAGCCACCCTGGGACCACTGTACTGCAGGCATTGCGTGAGGCAAACCACACTGGCTGCGGTGCCACCACTGTGGTGACACTGGGGAGCCCATGGCCTACATGAGGGTGGTATTTCGTTCTTCAAGCGGCCTCATGCTCGCTGGCTGATGAAATACCAACGTGAAGGGGTTCACTGGGGCTCGGCGAAGTCATCCTGATCAATGCCAGATAGAAAGTGGCACTCTTTTCAGAGGAGCCATCAGATGGAGAGGTGCCAGAAACTGCAGGCGTTGGGTCTTCAGCGGTGCGAGCAAAAGTCAGACAGGCGATGAGAAGGCTTTGCATCCTGTCGCTAATTCGAAGCCAGAATGCCTGGTCCCTTCCCTGGTGATACTGCAGGCTGTTATGGAAAGGAGCTGCCCAGGGCAGCAGCTTTGTCTGGGCAAGATGAAAAAAAAAGTCACAAAGATCGCTGCATGTTCTGTTTGGTTTGTTGCTGGTTTGGTTTGCATGAGCAGTTTTGTTCAAGGAAAAAGCTGGTTTACCTGTGAGTTTATTTTTTAGACAGGTGTCTGTTGCCACTGAATTGCTTGGAGAAAATCTGTGATTGTTCTTTAGGGTCACCCAGTGCCCAAGTGCAGTTGGTAGTTTGCAGGTGAAGTCGCTCATCTGCATGGTGGTGGTGCCGTGCCAGTCTTTGCTCTGGATATTTTCCTTCCCCAACTATAAGCATGAATTTATCCCCGGCTTTCTCTGTTGCGGCTTCTTGATGGACTCGCTGAGCTCACAAGTAGCCAGTAAGAGAGTCTTTTTTGCCTAATCACTTTAAAAAAGGGAGGGGGGGAGCTCCTCACACAGTTAATCAAGGGCTATGTTAACAGAGCTAATGCACTCTGAAGTCAGGAGCTTTCAATGCTACAGAGGGAAGCAGGCAAGCTTTTATCGCTGTTTGCACATACACTGTGCTACCTCCTTGACTTTAAACATGGTTGTGTAATATTGAGTGCTGCCTCTCTGCCCCCTCCTGACACCACCCGCTTCCCATTCGGGATCCTGCCTCTTCCCTACAGCATCCACACCCCCATCCCTGTTGGATGCCCACGGTGTTATGTGGGAGGGGGAGCGTCTGTCCTGCTGCAAACCTCTCCTTTTCCAAACCCTTTCAGAGACAGCAAGTATAACTTAAAAAATTAATACTTTGGAATGGAGTTGGGGGTTGGTAGAGGTTAATTTTGTCCCGTGGGGTGTTACTGTTTGATGGTTTGGGGAGAAACAGTCAGGGTGCCCAGATTGCCATCCCTGCCCAGGAATCATGGGGGACCTTGCAGCTGACCTGTTAAGGTGTGTCACCTGGCCAGTATTTTTTCAGCTAGAGGATTATACAGTTGTGTGGTGGCTTTTTTCAGATGGGATGTGAAAAATTTGGGATCCAAGAACAGCTTGTCTGGTGGGATGGAGGTCCCAGCCAGAGTGCTTTTAATTTCCAGCCCTGCCACTGCTTTACTGTATAACCTTCAGCCAGGTTGGCTTCCTTTTCGAGCCCTCAGGTTCCCTCGTTTGTAAAGCAAAGGGGCACTGTGGCTCTTTCCTCTTTTACATTTTCCTTTTCAGTCCTTTAAGCTCTATGGAGCAACAGAAAAAATACCGTCTTGTGTTAAAAACTAATGATTACAAGTAAAGTTGGCACGCTGCACTGTATAAGGCATTGCTTTTTTTGAAGAGCTTAAGTCTCAATGTATAAAACAGAGAACTGGGAGTATCATTGTCCCTACTTGACCTGTTGGAAATGGAGACCAGCTGCAGTGAATTCTCCAGAGTCACCCGGGGTGTCCCCAGCTGGACCTGAGTTGCTGCAGCCTTTGCCTTAGTGCAAAAGCAGCCCCTTCCTTGTCCCCCCTTGCACGAAGAGGCGCTCGGGATCCGGCCACCTGACACAACCCCAAACCGCCCTCCCCCGTCTCCCAGTCTGCCTCTGCGTGTCCCCCCGCCTGCCCGCGGAGCTGGGCTGTGTGGTGCGGGGATGCTGCCCCGGAGCTGGGGCAGGGGCTGGTTCCGATTTGGGAGCCTTGTAAATTACAGACAGCGTGGCAGTAACAAGGGCTGCTTGGCCGGCCCTTGTTAAGCAGGAGGGGGCTTGGGGCTGTGAGCAGCATTTCCTCAGTAAAACCTTCAGGTTCTAATCAGCAAACACCTCTCTCGCTGCCTGCGCTTAATTTGGATCCCTTTTTCCTTTCGAGCTTTATCACATCCCCCCTGCACACGCACGTGCCTTTCTTCCCTTTTATATCTTCACCTCTGGTTTTCTTTCTTGCTCCGTTCCCTTGGCGGTGCCCTCCATCGCCAGCACAGCTGGGGCTGCGTGCGGGGGCCTCGGTGGGCTTAGGTGTGCGGCGGGAAGCCGAGCCGACAGATTTTACACCCCCACCACCCCTCCCTATCTGACTATGCTCTCGTTAATTTTGTTCTGCTAATGGCCCCTCCTTTTGATTTACTGGGCTGTCTGAAAGGGATTTAGAGCTCCACCGGCAGGAAATTGTTATTTTAACCTGGCAGGAAAGAATTAAAAATAAATAAACAAATAATTTTTGTTTTCCCTCCCCCCTTGAAGGTCTTTAAATTACTTTAACTCTTTCTTTTCCCAGATAGCAATTAAGCGTGAACTGTTGAGGCTGGTGCTGTCGGTGGCTGCGGACATGTCGGCAGCCAGGGGTATCTTCTAGCGTACCTGCCTTGGGGAGAGGAGGCAGCAGAGCAGGACACCATCACGCAGCAGCCCTGCAGCCCCCTGTCTGCGACCACCGCCTCTGGGAAGGCAACTGGAGTGCCTGGGGCCTCCTCCGTTCCCCACCTCTGCCACCTCTCCCGCTGCAGCCCGTTCTGGCGGTGCTTGCAGGGACACCAGGCAGATCGAAAGCTGCCTGATTAATAAAGTTCCTTGCTTTGCACTACTGCAGGCTGCTTAAGGGCAGCATTTTCAAAAGAGGTCAGCTCCCATTTAGGCATCGAAATAAGTTGGTTGCCTATTCAGGAGAGCTCAGCATGTCAAGAACTGAATGCTTTTGAAAATCTGGCTCCAATTGTGGAAGCTGAGAATTTCGAAATCTGGCCCTGGATCCTAATAGTTCTTTTGGAATTGATGTTTTCATTCATTTTCCTCATTATTTTTATGCTGGCCATTTACTTTTTGTACTTCACTCGGCTGTGAAAGAAATGGCCACATGTCCCTATTTAGAGCTCATACTCTGCCTGGAGGTTTGGGGAGGTACCGTACACTTGTTTCAACACACCTTCTCTCCTCAGTATCTGCTCAATACTGTTCAGTCTGCCCAGTGCCGTGGCCAAATTTTTTGGTCTCCCCTATTTTCTCCCCACCTACTGCCCTTCATCTTTTCACAGACCTGGGGGCAGCCAGTTTAGTCATTGCATCGATGTGCCTGGGTGGTCCTAGCTTATGAAGGGTCCATTACACATTTCTGTGCCTTTGGCTCTGCCCTTCTGGCCAGAGGCTCTGCACGACGCATAGCTGCAGGGAGGTCTGGTTGGGAATGTCTTTGCCCACCCCCTCCCCCAGCATGGGCTCCAAGGAGCAACTCTTTTCCATCCAACATTTTTCCATCCTGCTGCCAAACCCATCCAGATAGGGGGAATGAGTCAGCTTTGCTGTGTAGGCTTCCAGTCCTGAGGAACAAGATATTAAGTCCTACCCCAAAATGTTTCTTCTGCGTTGGTGGAAGGCTTTCTGTCTCCAGCAAACCTTATGGTCTGAGGTGTTTTTAAGCCTAAACTAACTCGAAGTCTTTTCCAGATGAGTGTAATTAGTGGCACATCAACTTGCACATCAGCAGTGGTGTCAACAGTGCATGTTCTGGTACAGACAGACCTCGGGCATTTTTATGGCCGTGGTCAGTGGTGGTTTGCCCAAGTTGGCTGTGGCATAGTAAAGGGTGCTTTCGGGGCTGTCTTACATGGAGAAATGATCCTGAGTCAGTCAGATGGTGTCCAAGTCGATAGCTAAAGGATCATGTACAACAGTATGTGCCAGGTGCTGGGGGAAACTTCAAAGACAAATTGTTGAGGCTGTCTTCTCTCCAGGAAAGGGAATACCGGGAAGGATGAGGTGCATGGGAGGAAAGTGGATGTCTTGTCACACTGGCACTGGGAGATTACCCACAGAGGATTTTCACATGTAAATGGGCTGTGGGCTGCAGTAGCTAGAGTATGAATCTAGCTGATCTTTCTGTGTGCCTTCGGAGTATGCTCAGCCTGATGCATAATGACCAAGCTCGGCGTAATTTACCCTGCCTCTCAGCAGGGCTTGTCACCTTGGCCTCACGGCCACGCTAACCGTGACTGTGTGACTCCTGGGAAGGAGCTGCCTTGCCTTGAGCCTGCTGGGCAGGCCAGCCAAGTGAGCTCACATCAGCTTGCAAAGTGCCACGTAAAGATGCTCTTTGTGGCACTCGCAAATCTCCAGCTGCAGGTTGCTTTACTTGGTGTTGCTTCCTTTTGAAATCGTCAGCTTAGAGCAGGCTTTTCTTTTTCATATCCCTTCTCAACTTTATATGAATGTCTTCTCTATGACTTCTCCCCCAAGCAGTGCTCTGGGGCATGGTAGGGGAAAAAGGGACAGCTTGTGGGGCTGTCAGAGGGACAGCTTAGTTTGCGGAGATGCATGCAAGCTAGCTAGCTGGATTCTTGGTGTCGCGATGTGGACCTCCTCATGGCTGGCCCACACTGTGCTCTCACACCTTTGCTGTCACTAGAGGCCAAGCAAATTTGTATGAGAGTAGTTTATTGAGATTTCCCCAAATGCTGTGGTTCCTTGCTAGCAGTAATCAGCCATACCTTGAACAACTCATCGAGCACCTCATGGGGAGCCTGTGGCAGTCCTTACTTCAGAAGTTCGGAGATATAATTTTGGAAGTTATGCTTGAAGGGACTTGTTCCCTCTTTTTGATTGAGTTGTTTATGGAAAGGACATGCTCAAACAGGTGATGTCTTGAGCAGTGACCGTGGTGGAAGTGGGAAATACTGCTCTGCGGAGTCCAGGTGCTCTTGAGGATGGTGGTTATGGCCAATGAGCTCGTGTGTCTGCAGTGGAAGCAAGCAATATAACTGCTGTCCAGGCTGGCTGCCATGGCTGGTTTGGCCTTGGGCTTCTCACCTGCCAATGTAGACATGCCACAGGAGCAATTCTGAAATACCTTTGAGACTTGCAGGTCATCTTCTTAGTGCTGCAGCTGGAGGGACCTCAAAATCCTGTAGCTGCATTACGATGTCCATAGAGGGAAGTCTCTTCTTGACTTCAGCCCTTTGCCCTTGCTTGAAGCTGAATCAGTCTGATATCCAAGGTGTCTCTTGGGGCAACCACTTAGATCTTTAATATTCCTGACCTGGCTTGTCTCCTTTAGTGTTCCTTCATGATAGTCTCTCCAAAAGAGCTGCTGCAGTGTGCAGTTCTTCACAGAAACTTCAGTTGTGATGGGTGGCCTTGGGCTTCAGGGTTTTTTGAGATTGTTGATACTTTCGAGTATGAACCTGGTGGTTTGTCCAGACAGGGTAGTTCAAATCAAAATAGGCAGCGTGTTTCAGGCAGAACAGTTAATCTGAAATCTTTCCATAGGTTGGGTCTCTTAGTTTAGAATAAGGATGTACTATGCCAAATTAGTGTAATCTGCCCTCAGCTCACTACACTGAATTTAAGCAAATTTAGAACTGCACATTTCTTTTCTCCTGAAAAAAGTGTCCCCACCAATTCAGAATAATTCCTTGCAGAGATGCCCTGAACATCTTTTTACATCTCCTAAGGAGTCCCATCTGGATTGAACCATAGGTATGCCCAGTAGCAACATGGCCAGTGTCTCAGGAACTAAGACCGTGAAACTGCAGGATCACCTCTGTTTTCATGTACCTTGAGAGTTGTACTACACATTTACTTTTGTGTTCAAGCTAGGATATATTCCAGACATGGCCAAGAAATGGCAGCAACACTTAGCAAATATCTCCAGTGACACTTCATTGGAAACGTTTGTGTTTTGCTCCTGAAAAATTGCCTGGTGTGCACTGCTGGCATAGTACAGGCATTCACTGCTCCAGGTCTGAGATGGGGAAGGGGAGTAGTGTCTGTGTGCACACGTGTAGGTTTGCACTGAGGGCTGAAGATGGGATGTCTTGGGGGACTCACAACCATACTTGGGGGAGAGGCGGGAGAAGAGAAGTGCTTGCATCAGTGTCTATAGCCTCCTCAGACCACTGGCTTGGTGAATCCCTGGGAGTTTGGGGATGTCGACAGAGGAGCCAGGCAGGGCTGGAAAGCAGAGGGGATTCTGAGGGTTTCATCCATTGTGTCTCTTGTCATCCGCAGGAATCTGCTGCCACACATCCACTGCATCCCCTGAGACAGCTTATGGGACCCTTCTCTGGGTGCTCCAGGACACATCGCATGGGATGGCAATGAGGCGTGGAAAGAAGAGACCCATGTCCACCATCCCTTGCCTCATCCTCGCAGCCGCTAGCTGTTTTGCCAGACTGAGTGAGTTTCCGTTCTTACCTGCTTGTTCCGTTTCATTTATGTTTTGCCTTGATGCTGTTTAGCGTAGCTGTGCCTCAAGCACAAAGGGGTTTCCTCTCTCTGCTGCTTCCTCAATAGCCTTGACCAAAGGTCTAGGTTCGAACACTCCTCCAGAGGAGAAGGGGATACAGTCAGAGTTGGACATCTCTGTCTGGTGGTGCCAAGAAGAAATGGGTGTGCATCTCAAGCACTAGGGTGGATGTGTAGGGAGTTAAGGGGAAAGTGCAGCACAAGTGGAAGCGATGGGGATGCAAATGTACCAGCACTGCGGTTTTTTGCTCTGTGCTTTCTTTTGCTGAGTCTCACAGAGCTTTCTTATTCCCATATTTCCCTCTGTACAGGTGAATCTCTGCAGGTCACAGTGCAGCCTGCCTCCATTGTCCAAAAGTTTGGGGGCCCAGTCAGCCTGGGGTGTGTAGTGGATCCCCCCAGAGTGAACCTCACCTGGAGACTGAACGGGAAGGAGCTGGCTGGATCAGACGAGGTGCTGGGTATCAACATCGAACGAGGGAAACTTGTCATCACGGCTCTCAACAACCACACGGTGGGGCGATACCAGTGCATTGCTCGTGTGCCTGAAGGAGTCATTGCCAGTGTCCCTGCAGTGGTCACGTTAGCTAGTGAGTAGCTTTAGTCCTTTGCCATCCCCTGCATTGCTTGGGCCATCGCTCGCGCATCTTGAGAGGCTCATCCATGCTCGTTTGTTCATGCTAGCATCAAGGAAGGGCTCTTTTGGCTTGGGCTGTTTTGTAGCATTTTTGATTGTGGGCCGGCTGTCGTGTTGTGGCCCAGCCATGACCCAAGCAGTCCTCCTGCGTGGTAGGCTGCAGACCTGTCCTGCAATGACAGGTTTTGCAAGACCACAAAGAGCAGGAAATACCTGAGCGATGGGGTTTCTGCGCATGGTTGGTTTCCTGACTGCCGTGCTGCCTCAACTGGTTGCCAACTTCTTGATTGAGGTTACCAAAAAGTACCTGCTGGTGCTGATGGCCAAACTGCTGCCTGGGCTGCTGCAGGGCTGTTGCCAGTGTTGGGTCAGCGTGTGCTAAGTTTTACTGCCTTCCCGACCCACAGAAAGTGAAGTCCCTTGCCCTGCTTGTGCTGTGATGGGACCTGCACTTTTTTGTGTGGCCCTTGGGTTCATCATAGCCAAAGTGCAAGCCCCCATGCTCACGGTAAGGAAAGGTTAGTCTGGTGGTGGTGAGGAGGCGCTCCTGAGCACCTGCGTTAAGTGGCTGGTGGCCCTCTGTGCACCGTTGGGAAGATCCTTTGCCAAAAGGCAAGGTGAGGGAGAGGGGTGGCGGGAGAACAGTTGCACGGAGATGTTGAAGGCAGAGACTATGCTGTCCTCATTTGGTAAGGCAGGTGCAGACGCTGACAGGAGGCAGATGCAGGAGAGCAAAGTATCTAAAAGCACTCGTAATGAGGTTTTTGTCTTTAAGGGGCAGGAGGCTGTATTCATTACCACTGCTGTGGTTCTGGGTGGGGCATGCTCCCCCTTTCCAGGGTTTTGTCCTCTTCCTATGAGGCAGTGGCATGGCAGCAAACAGCCACCTTGTTTCTGAGCCATAGGTCTGGGCGAGGAACTTTGCTCGTGTGTCTGAACTTATGTGCTCCTCACTGCTGCCCTCTGGCATTGGCGACAGACCAAGGAGACATGTGTGCATGGAAAGGGGTATCTTAGAGTGGAGGACTTCTCTTACAGGTGCCTGGTTTTGTCCAGATGTTATGCTCAAATGTGAGAAAGTGCTGTATTTGGATGCATCTGAGAAAGGGCAGCCCAGGCTTGCTTGGAGATGCGGGCACTCTGTGTGGACCACCCTTGTTTAGGCAATGGAGAGTCTGATCTTCTCAGAGGCCTGTGCAGTTTTTGGTGGAACAAGTGTGTGCAGAGGAGATCGCCATCCCCTGGCAGTGACAGCCCCTGGGCATAGAAAGGGCTTCATCGTCTCCCCAGCAAGGGGGAGTTTGGGGCTAAGTCATAAGAAAATGAAGAAGTGAAGATGTTTGTGCAAAGTGGGGACTGGCTTTGCTTTAGAGCCAAGAGCTATTGGCTTGTCACTGATACATTAATCAGGAGTGAAATGTTTAGGCCAGGCTGGGTGGGAGGAGGAGGCGAGGGAAAGCGAGGGGAGAATTGCTGAGCTCTGAAGCAGGATGGGAGGGGGTTGTCATGGGGCCGAATCTGTCAGGGGATTTGGCCTGAGCCCCGTGCAGAGATTAAGTTTCGGAGAACACATTCCAGAGCAGAAAGGGGGCTGTGTGTGCTGGTGGCCTGATACAGGGAAGGAGAGGAGGGGAGAGGTGGATGGGATTACCAAGGGCATGGTTTGCATTTAGGAGAGCAGGGTGTGCACAGCTCCTCAGCCTGATCGGTTCCTTCTTAGGCTGATCCCCTTTTCTTTTTTTCCCCTCACCCCAACCCACCACCACCAGCTCTGTCTCCTGGGACAAAGCATGGCTGTTTGACTTTTCTATCTGCTTTGGTCTAACATCAGTGGTGGATGGGAGACAGGTCCTAGAGCACTGGAAGGTCCCACCATGTCCCTCAGGACAAATCAAAGCCACAACTGAGTAGTCTAGCAGTCCTCTCCTGGAGCCTTTGGCTACCAGGTTGCAACTGGGATTGTGAGTGCAAAAGAGGGGGACTTGCCCATTGCTGTGGTCCCTGCCCTGGCAAAGGTGCTAGCGCTGAGGGGAGGTCAGGAGCACCATTCAGTGGGGCTCACAAAACTGGAGCCAGGGGTTGGATGACCAAGCAACTAGTCCATTGTGGAGCACCCCTGTGGCTGCGCTGCATGGATCCCTCGTCCTCGAGGGGAGCTGGGGATGGCAGAGGCCGTGTCCCACGCACTTGGACAGCCTCAGGCGATAGAGAACCCCGAGGTGGGGAAGACTTGGCAGTCAGCGAGTGAAAAGAGAGAGAGGGGACAGCCCAGGAAAAATGTGGGCCTGAAGGTGTAGGAGGGAAACCTGGAGGGGTTCAAATAACCAGTTTCATGTTCATGAGCTGGAGGCTGCTTGCAGCAGTGGCTTTGCAGTGGTCTGAAATAACAGGGGGCACCGATGTGTGGTGGGACTGTGTTTGAAAGCTATGGTAGCAGATGTGCCTCGAGCTGTCGCTCCTGCTCCAGACCTCCTCAACAGGGCCTTGCTCTGAGCTGGTTCAGTGGGGACCATGGTCCCGGTGGTGGAGAGGGAAGACCCTGGCAGGTCAGCATTGTAGCTGATACATCTCTTCCAGATCACCTGCTGCGCTGAAAGAAAACCCTCTGAATGGCTTAGCCCTATCCAAAAAATTATTTTGGGGGGCCAGGGGGAGAGTGAAACTCAAATGTGAATGAAAGCAGGGGAGGGGGATGGGGAAATATTTTCAAGATTTAGGTTTATTTTGGAAGAAGACCTAGAGTTATTGGAACAAGTGTCTTGTTAGGTTTCAAGGGCTGTTGGTAACATCATCTGGCCAACTTTTAGGTTATTTCCTCTATTTTCTCTCTGCCTCCTTTGGAGGAAACACCCTCGAGTGCCCCAGGCTGTGCGTGCCCAGTCCTTTGGGGCCTCCTTGTGCTTTGCTGACAGTCAGCAAGCAGATAACCATCGTTACAGTGCTGGCAGCCGCAGCATAGCCTTGGGACCGATACCTCCTTCTCCCATCTGTGGTACAGCAATGCCGAGTCCACCTGTGCCCTCCCTGGTTCAGAGGGCTGGTTGAAACTAGCATTTAATTCCTCCAGCGGAGATAAAATAGCTATTGTATAGCCGAGGGGTGGAAGGAGGTGGGATTTGCAGAAAGGGGAAAATTAAGTTCTTAAAGCAAGAAAAGGAGTAGCACTTCAGGCATTACTTGGGCACTTTTGAGTCCAGTTAGAGCCGACTTGGTGCTCCATGATCCCACACTCATCCCTGGCAGCCCATGGCACATCAGTGCACATAGATACCTGCTGGTCACTGCTGGCCTGGCCATGCTGCACGAGATCAGCCCTGTGTGGCCCCGAGGCAGCCCTTCGGCCCAGTGGTGGTGGGCTGGAGCCTGGGACAGCTTGAATGGATGGGGCAGGGGTATTCCTGGTTTTCCAAGCTAGGCCCTAATCCTTCACATGGCTGAGAGCCTCAAGGACGAGCAAGGTGTTTTCTCTGCCCGCTTCCAGGTAGCCAAGTTGCCATCACGCCAGAAGCCCTGCTCCAACCTCTCTCCTGGGTGGAGGTGCTATATGAAAAAGGTATGGCTGCAGTGGGCTCTTTATCCTGGGCTGGATAAATCCACCAGGGACATGAACACAGTGCTGTGGGCTGGTCCTGCAACAGCAAAAGGCTCAGAAAGTCAAGAGCCCTTGGTGGAGCTCACAGGGCAGCTGAAGTGCAGGACTGGAGCAAAGCCAGCAGGCAGAGGTGGCGAAAGCCGTGCAACTCTCAGCATTCAGCTGCGTCCGTGGAATATCAGTGCAGAGAGAACAGTGTCAAACCTGACCTGGACAGGCATGATATTTAAAAACAAAACAAGAAAATAGGTGAGGGGTGCAGCAAAGGAACTCCACCTGCTTTGTTGTATGCCCTATGGCCAGGGACAAGTGGAGTGCAGGGTGCCTCTGGGACAAGGGAGGCTCATTGCTCCGTGGTCCCCATCAGCGCCGCTGCTAAGGGCAGCCCTCGGCTTTGGGACAGCATGGGGGGGAAGCAGCGCTCGTGAGCAATGACCCCGCTCCGGGTCGGGCTGGGCATCCCCCAGGAATTTGCAGCTGCTTTCTGCAGACAGCCCCATTCATTTTCCTCTGCCCGGGCCTCTCCTCTGACCGCTCCCTGGAGGCACTGGCGGGAGGGAAGGGGGCGGCTGTGTGTTGGAAAAGCATTTGCTGAGCAGGCACAGGGGTCTCTGGCCCTGGAGGCAGAGGTGGTGTGAGGAGGGGAGAGAAGGAAAACACAGGTGGTATTTCGAGAGTCGGTGGAGCTGTGGCCCAAGGGCTGTGCGACGGGCCCGGGGCGCCGTGGGGGAGTGGGGCTGGGGCATGGCGGGGAGAATGTGCTTGGGGGTGCGTGAGCAGGCAGGAGGCCGG